GAACTCTAGAAGATGAAATGACTGCAAATGTTACAGAAACTTAGCTCGTAGTCTAAAAGTACAGCACAATACCTCACATTTATTATCTTAATTAGCGTAAAAGACGTACAGTACATTCGTGTCATTCCCCGATCTGTCACGGAACTAGCCGATCCGTAGTGTCAGCTCTTTTACGCATGCGCTAAGTAATGCTTCCGGGTCGCACGGATCGCCTTTGCAAGATTAAGAAAAATGTACTAATTTATTTAGAAAAGTACGATCTTAATTTACGCCACTCGTATTTCCGTTAAATTCTTGACATATTTACGTCATTGGTTAAAATGACATGGACGCATATTTAGGGTAAATTAAAATAAAATAAAAATTAGGGTGATGTAGCGCAGTTTTACCACGAAGCGGCGCTGTTTTACCATGGAAATAATTATACCTCAGTTCTTGTACTTTAAGATGTCTACTCATCATATGGAACACCGAAATGCTCAAAATGAAATAAATAAATAAAGCTTTATGAAATAAGAGAAATTGGCTTATTTATTTCATAACTGTGTTTTATATGGCTTATTTATTTCATAATTGTGTTTTTCATAATGGCTTATTTATTCCATAATGCCACTTTTCAGCGGCCAATCAATTCAGTGGGTTGGACCTTCATGCCCACTGGCTGATCTTCACAACCATTAGTTTTCCTGCTGCTCACTGGTACAACTAGCATAGCAGAGACTTGCTAGGTCAACAGTCATGAAGGACGGCAGAGTTGCATGAACTTTGTTCAGCTCAGGTAACTTTAGCAGATCAAACTGAGAGGATTACGTTCTCAGAAGATACAGTTGTCATGACAAAAACTGATCGACTGAAAAAATAGATCGGTGCCACGGGAGCGCGCATGAGAGGACTCGCTGTTTTAGTTCTTTGAATTTAACAAGATTAACTCTTAAAACAATTATTTGTTTGCTCTAAATTATAGCGAAGTGTCTCAGTTTACTTTTACCTTAATAAATGCACTGTACTGGTCAAAAATGCTTCATATATTATCAATTACAATCTCTACTCAAAATTCAGGCTAGGAGCTGTACATGCACAGGACATCAATGATGGCTCCACACGTGTGTGCAACAGGTCTTCTGCCAAACCCTGTTTCAGCATTAAAGGTTACCTTAATTTCTTCTGTGCATGAAACAGAAAATCCTGTGCAAAATCTGGAAACAAGACTGCTTGCAGCTTGCGCTGATCTGCATTCCTAATTTATCTCAGTGTCGCCTGCGCTTTCTGTGACAGAGCATCTGTTTGCTGCATGTCAGCCTTTTTGTTTGTGGCGTTTGTTTGGACATCAGCTGTATGTGGTAGGTTTAATGCAACATCTTTTAGTGTTTTGGAAGAGCAGTCTATATACTTGGTTTCTTGTAATGTGGCTTGATGAGCTGGATTGCTAGCTTTTCCCCAGGCTGCCTTTACTGTTACCATGAAGCATGTTCATAATTTGCTGAGATAGTTAAACAGGTGTATTCCTTTTAAAATGTTTTTTAGTGTATGAATGTCTAAATGTTGGTGTGGTGAGGAATAAACTAAAGTGTAAACACTTCACAACAACATGTTTTTAATTTTGATGTTATTAATGAGTACCTGCTGAGATTTGACCAGTACAGTTGCTGTTCTCTTTTATTTGTCAGGTGCTGAATTTCAACAGAAAGTTTATTTGGGTTAAGTTATAGTTTAATAGTGCAATAAACTGAACAGGAAAACATGTATTTGATGAGTTATGAATGAGAATAACCTTCTCGTAGTGTAAGAGGTCGTACAATGCTGTTATTGCTAGTATCACTCAGCCCCCTGTGAATAGTAAACAGCCATCAGGGTGCTAATGATAAATCGTTAGGCTGATGTTCCTTCTTTATCATGTGAGCAGCTGGTTTTGGTTGTCAGCAGCAAACTGGTCGATCCACTGAGGTACTAAGTAATAAAGTGTTATTTATAAGACTGAGCTGAATACAGCACCTCAGACTGAAGAAGTATTTCAGATGAAAGATGAAACGTTTCTACTTTGTTTGTTTTTGTCTGAAGAAGTCTTTCAGATGAAAGATGAAACGTTTCTACTTTGTTTGTTTTTGTCATAATGACAGAGTGTACCCAGAAAGAACGGACTGAAGGACAACAGACTCAGGATCATAAATAAAAGGTGATTTTATAGTACATACACACACATACACACACACGGAAGGGAAAACGATTAGTGTCTTATTGGTTGGAGGATGATATGGTGGAAAAAATAATATTCCTCTTACTGTGAAGGACAGGTGGGGTGACACAGGGTCGAGAAATAATGAATCCAAATTCCAGCAAGAGGTTGATGCACGGGTGGAGCGTGGAGGCCGAGGCAGGAGGGGTAGTAGTTTGATTAGAGTCATTGAGGAGAAACTTGAGCTCAGGTAAGTACAGATCAATCCACAGGTATGCATGAAACGTCCAGGACTGGAGGCGCAAAGAAAACCAAATTTTGTCAGAAGTGAAGAAGACACACAGGTATGTATTTAAAAAAAAAAAAAAATATATATATATATATATATATATATATATACACAGAAAGGCCAGGAGCACAAGTACCCTCAACAAGATATGCTCCAGCACTGGATGAAGCAAGTCTGCAGCCTCATATAGTCCTGGAGGCAGTTAGGGAGATGGCCAGCAGATGAGCGTGATTAACTCTGCTGCAGGAGCTCAAGAGTCTGTGGAGAGAACACACTGAAAACCCCTACAGTTTTGTTTTTTTGAATGTCCAGAGGACCAGACGTAACTTTTTTAGATCTTTCTACGAGGATTATTGAGCATGCATCAGGATGTTAATCTTGTTTAATTCAAAGAACTAAAACAGCGAGTCCTCCTGTGCGCTCCCGTGGCGCCAATCGATTTTTTCAGTCCATCAGTTTTTGTCATGACACCTGTATCTTCTGAGAATGTAACCCTCTCAGTTTGATCTGCTAAAGTTACCTGAGCTGAACCAAGTTCATGCGACTCTGCTGTCCTTCATGACCGTTGACCTAGCAAGTCGCTGCTAGCTGCTATTATGGGGGAGCGG